CCCCCCCCCCCCCCCCCCCCCCCCCGCTTCGCCCGGTGGGCGTAGACTGATGGCGGTGCGTTTAGTCTGACCCTGTGCTGAAGGTCACCCACATCGTTTGTCCAGGACAGCAGTTCTCCTGTGTTTTGGCCCCAGGACCCTTTTGCTTTAGTTTATATAGGTTGTAACAATCAATACTAACACCGTTAGAAATTAAGGCACTAAAAAAACCCCTCGATAGTCAATTTAATAGCAATAAAACCATTACACGCTAAGATAAATCATATTTCTATGGGAAAGCAACTTTTTCAAAACAAAACAATTACTGAAGAAGGGCATCATGTTACATTTTTTGTGTCTCTCTGGTTTAAAAGAAGAGAACTGGATTCTTCTGCTTCTGCAGGCAATCTATTGCTATACTACAGGTGATGTGGCCAGAGAGAGACTCCACTGTACATAAAAGAGATCATATCATGTGAGTGAAAAAGCCAGATAGTATTATGGAAATAGTTTCGACTTTGCAAAATTCCCCTAAAAAATTCTTGGGTATTCCTTTGGGGCTTTGGCCCACAGTTTGAGAACTCCTGGTCTAGTATATCAAAACTAGTAAAATTTGCTGGCAATAGGGACGCCTGGGTGGCTCAGTCAGTTAAAGGTGTGACTTCACCTCAGGTCGTATCTTAAGGTTTGTGACTTTGAGCCCCACATGGGGCTCTATGCTAACAGCTTGGAGCCTGGAGCTTGCTTCAGATTCTGTGTCTCCCTCTCTAACACTCCCCGGCTTGCACTCTGTTTCTGTCTGTCTATCTCTCTCAATAATAAACATTAACAAAAAAAGTTGCTGCTGTGTTTACAGTGCTGGTCAACTTGGGTGCAGTAATTATTTCCACTAAAACTGCTCTACCTTGACTGTGATTTTCTTTTTGGCATTTTTGGACCTCTGACTTCTCTCTATTTTCTCCTTATTCTCTGACACTGCATTTTTTGCTTTAATAAATGGTAAGTCAACACCAATAAAGGTCACTAAGCTCTAATAGGAAAATGATTAACCAATGAACTCTGTAATATTTCATCATAAAGGGTAGTAGACCCAATAAGGCACACTCTGTCACCAGAACAAACTGCTGACTTTATGTCACCAGAACAAACTGCTGACTTTAGGTCACTTTGAGGGACCGAATACAATCCTATAATCGTGGATTTGACATTTTATAATCAAGGAATAAACAGTATTAGGAAGCAGATTTGGAGTAGAGTCTAGGGTGAACCAAGCAATGTGGGAAAAGCACGATTGGGAAAGGTCAAGTGCTCCAGAATGACTGGAGGGAAAGGGGCAGAGGGAGGGGTCTAGTGAAAGGGCTGGAGAGGAGGAATGAGCTTGGACAGGTGAGCTCAAAGTCCATTCCAGTGAATTCTGAGGGCAAGCCCAAAGACTCTGAATTTTATTCTGGGTCCTAGGAGATTGTTGACCAAGGTTTCAGGGATGGTGGTGGGATAGGGCAGTGCAGGGGGCAGCTGATGGAGGGTAGACGGGGGTTGGGAGCCTTGGGGTCTGAGGCCCTGATACAGGACTATGGCATCTCTGAGACAGTGGATCCAGCAGTTGCTTGCATGGATATGGGGCCTTGAGCAAAGGAGAAGGAAAGAAGGGAAGACACCTCTGTACAAAAAACATTTACTGAGTATTTACTGCCTGCAAAACCACCTGAGTGAGTGATTCCAAAGCCGAAACCCTGCTTGTAAGGGTAGAGTCATGGCCCCAAACCATGCTGGTGCAACAGAGGCCTCAAAAAGTTCTGAGGCTTTGAGTGATGCAGGGAAAGTCATAAAATCATCACAGTGGTGACTGTGTGGGTTTACAGCCCTTTTGCTCTGGGCAATCTACAGATGAACTCTTATGACACTGAGAGTTCAGAAGAATGATTGCCCTTAATGTTTAAATTGGATTGTGAATTTCAGAATGGCAGATAGGGGTACACCCAAGGAGCCAAAACATTGCTACCTCTTTGCTACCCACCCGGAATCTTAGTCCTGGAGAATGGAAAGTGCTTGGGGTGGTGGGTGTGGGTGGGGAGCTTAGGAGCTCCCATGTGTAGGAGTGCACCTATATACAAGTAAGTACCAGACTGGATGTCTGTGGAGGAAGGATGGTGGGAAGGGAAATCTTGAGTACCTATTCTATGTACCAGAATGAGGGAGGCCCTGTGAATATGCCCACCGGACATCAAAACTTTAAAGTTAGCATTTTCTCCATGACCTTCTAACAGGTCCCTGAATATGGGTGGCCAGTGACGTCCATGGTCAAAATGCTGGGGTCTGTGCTCTCATCCTGGGATTGTAGAGAACAGCAGTGATCTCCAAAAGAAAGGGCAAGGTGATCAGTTCTGTCTGCACTTGGATTTGCCATTTCGTAGAGAGGGGCGTTTTTAAAAAATGTTTATTTTATTTTTGAGAGAGAGCCAGCGAGCAAGTGGGGGAGGGGCAGAGAGAGAGAAAGGGAGACAGAGGATCCCAAGTGGGCTCTGCATTGGCAGCGGGGAGCCCGATGTGGAGCTTGAACTCATAAATTGTGAGATCATTGAGCTGAAGTCCAACGCTCAACTAACTGAACCATCCAAGTGCCCCAGGGAGGGGCATTTCTATTTGCGACTCCTATACTTGCTCTCTGACCCTTCACTTGATCTTTTGGGGCTCCAGCTAGTGCTGGGTGTTGCTGTGGGAGCACATTCTACTTGGTCCCCAAATCCTGCCCTCTGCCTTCTCTCCATTTATTTCAATTGAGTAATGACCTTGGGAATCACAGCTTTACTTCTGACTCCTAGTTGGCTGTAAATTTTGAACCCGGCTGTAATATCTGGGAACTGCTAGAAGCCATGGGGAGCTGTAGGTAAGAGCAAGGTCTCTACGCTCTGACACTTGGGGCCCGGATCTCAGTCTGCCGCTTAGTAAATTCAGGACTCTGGCAAATCACCTTGTCTCTCTGAGCCTCAGTGTCTTCCTTTGTAAAATAGGAATAATAGTACCTGCTTTAAGGGGATACTTCTGGGGATTACATAAGATGTGTTGTAAAGTGCTAAACACCACTTTACAAACATTCTTACTGTTTCTGTTCACCTTTCCCCTTTGCTTCAATGGGGTCATCAGAATTTCTCAGAGTATCTGCTTTCCTTGGGCCTTGGGGCTGTGTGACAAGCACGGTTTCACTTACTTTTTGCTCACTTACCGATTTTCGTTTCTGACTGATAGAGTGCTCTCTCACTGCCTCTCTGAGGGAACGCGGATCTGCCCTGGAAAGGCCTTCTGTATGTGGCACACTCAGGTGGCTTTCCCTTCCTGCCATTCACTAGCCAGCGGCGTTCATTTCCTTCCTGGCGTGCCTCTCATGCATCTGCTCACCTGTTTGCGTCGTCAGTCTGTCCCTTCCGGTGGAACCGGAGTTCTGGGGAGGTGGGGGACTCATCTGGACTCATCTCTGCTGGTACCCCAGACCCAGCCCCAGGCCCAGCGCTGTGCACGCTGGACTCAGTAGGTATTTTGCTGGGTGAATGAATCAAAAAATGAGGCAGTGATTGGGCAGAGAGCCCTGAGTCACCTGTGGGGAACGTTCTTCAAGGTTACCACGGGCCCAAAGTAGGCTTGCAGTGTCTCGTTCTTTCCTTTCCATTTTATTTTTTTTTTTTTAATTTTTTTTTTCAACGTTTATTTATTTTTGGGACAGAGAGAGACAGAGCATGAACAGGGGAGGGGCAGAGAGAGAGAGGGAGACACAGAATCGGAAACAGGCTCCAGGCTCTGAGCCATCAGCCCAGAGCCCGACGCGGGGCTCGAACTCACGGACTGTGAGATCGCGACCTGGCTGAAGTCGGACGCTTAACCGACTGTGCCACCCAGGCGCCCCTCCATTTTATTTTTTTAACGCTTATTTATTTTTGAGAGAGAGAGAAGGGGGAGAGGGGCAGAGAAAGAGAGAGAGAGGGACAGAGAATCCCAAGTGGGCTCCGAGCTGTCAGCACAGAGCCTGACGCGGGGCTCGAACTCACAAACTGAGAGATCACAACCTGAGTTGAAGTCGGATGCTCAACCGACTGAGCCACCCAGCTACCCCGTGTTCTTTCCTTTCTAAAGAGACATATTCTGCTTTCTATTTCATTCCTGAAAAGGAAGTCTAATTTGTCACCCCATGGCCTTTTTCTCCCTCTCTGGTGACACTCTCTTGGTCCGTGGAAATACTCATCTAATCCATTCAAAGGTGTTGATGCTGCATTCCCTTCTCTGGCCCCTCAAGAACGGGACCTGAGTGGTTGGAAAAGAATTCCAGCCAGTCAAACGGTTGTTGTCTAATGAGGAACCTAGTACGCTTGTCCTGATCAGCACCCGGTGATGTAGGGAAGTGTTGAATCACCGTATTGTACACCTGAAATGAACTGAACTGAAATTACACTGTAGGTTTGCTAACTGGAATGAAAATAAGAACTTGAAAGTAAATAAATACAAAATAAAAATACTTGGGGGGTGGGGAAAGAGACCTAGAAAAG